GTGTGTGTGTGTGTGTGTGTGTGTGTGTGTGTGTGTGTGTGATTGCCTCTACGTTCCATAAACACAAACCTCATGAGGACCAAAGCTCAATCCTAATGAGGCAACAAAACATCATTTCTGAGGTCCTGGATAAGGTTTTGGTTAGGCCGTCCAAAAAGAATGGAAGCCAATGCAAAGGTTTAGGTAAGGGGAAGGGTTAGGATAAAGCAAGTAGTAACCATGGTTAAGGTTATAGCTTCCAGGTGTCCTCCAGAAATCCATGTAGGTCAATGCAACGTCTTCTCAAGTCATGGAAACATGACTCTGTATGTATGTGTGTGTGGAAGAAATATAGAATTCTCAGAGAGAGCCACATGTGAGGGGTCCCTCTCCCAGGACAGACAGAGGTGCAATAGACACCACGTTCAGCAGTGTACAACAGTACTGAGTCTGGTTCCGTACATGTACAGTACATTGGTGTGCAGTGATTTGAGTGTGTGAGTGACTCCGTGCCTTTTGGTCTCTGAGTCATACTTTCAGGCCGTCATGTAGCCAGTCATCACATGTTGGCAGACACAAGCTTGGATTGATCAAAGCAATTCTGAAACTGTAATGGGCAAATGCATGAGTGCACCAACATATGGACATACGATTTGGCGCCACCCTTAGGTCAATGGGGGTCAGTTCCGTTGTGGAAAGAGTTGAGATGCTTAAAAGTTGCAATACTACAATGAAAAATACTCCATCGCAAAAACAAGCCCAGCAGTAAAAGTTGTAAAAGCACAGCAGGCACAATGCACAACGTTCCTTAGCAGAGGTTTCATATCGTTGGAATGATTATGGAGATTTGATTGATTTTAGAGCATTATTGCATTGATGATTCAAGACTCTATCTGTTGATCACTTGAGAAAGAAAACAACCAGTAAATTGTTTCACTGTGGTGGATTTGGTTTTATCTTGGTGATGAAACAAAAGAGTAATGATCCCAATTAAGAGCTTCATGGCAGTCAGAGGTGAACACATTTTGGCTCATGTTGCTTAATATACACACCTTTTGAAAGTTTAAATGTACAAGCTACACTCAACTCTGAAATTTACAAGGCAAAGCATGTAAATGTATTGTTGTGACTTGAGGTTTCAGATGAGCTGCAGGGCCTCTGAATGTTCTGCCATGATGAATGCCTTTCTAATAATGTCTCTGAACTACAGTCTAAGCAGTGTACCTGGTAAAAATAAATGTTCGTGAACCCTGCAATATCAGTGTCCCTGTGCAAACTGCTATTGATCTTAACATGACAGAGATAAAAAAAAAAAAACAGGATTTTGAATTGCATATACATAACGTTTGGAATTTTTAATACAGCTTGATAGCTTCCCTGCATGTAGCTTGATTGCATCTCTCAGTAAACCCTGAGAGTGCATGGGTCATACCCATGCGTCTCACTCTTCCAGTTGGAAACTATAGTTCCCCAAAAAATAAAACCAGTTACTCAAGTGGTGTGTCATGAGTTGTTTTTATCAGATTTGACCAAGTTCTTACAGTCACAGGAGGAGCATATTATGCAACAGTTTGCACCACATACGTAGTAGGCTACTAACCATAGTAAACTGACTTTGACATGTAAAACCAGTGGAATGCCCCTCTAGATAAAACAAGATAAAATCAAATCTATCAATCTGCCTGTATGCACACACAAAAATGCAACTACTAGTTCTTGCTTAATTTAAGGTGTTATTAAAATCAAAAAGGGCTTTAACATGAAGAGACTTTTATCAACAGCCTATGGGTGTGCAGCACTTCTTTTTCGAGATTTACATTTGGGCTTATTAGACTTGTTTTTACCATTGTTGCTTTTATCCCTGTTTCATCAGCCTATTATTATATATTGTCTTATTGATGTCCTGATAAATAAAATGCATTACTATTATTTGCATGTTCCAAAGTCTGGAAAGATTCACATTTGTAGGTCACTGAAAAGGAAAAACTGCAGTCTGTTGTTGAAATTCTAGTTTGTGTGTGCGTTCAGTGCTACGTAACATGTGTGTAACTCCACTAAGCAGTGAGAACAGGTAAAGGAGGACAGAGCTATGAAGACATTCCGGTTCTGTGATATAAGAGACCTGCTTAATATTTATTCAGGTAACTACACTTCATGAACTTCCTTCTGCAGAAACATATAATTACACACAAGAGAATAAGTATTGAACAAAAATTTTCAGAGATAAATATTTCTCTGACCTCAACATTTCATCTTTTATTTTCTTAAGAGAGAACATTACAGCTCAAATTCAATGGCATGTCAAGTTTCATCATAAACACACACACACACACAGCGAGGTCATATGATGTGTAAGAGGACATACACTGCCAAAGCACTCAAGCACAATTAATGAACAGACCACTTTACAAGCTGCTCAAGAGAATTTCCTTTTTAAGTCCATTTAAGAGGGTCAGGGCTGAGAGAGTGAGCATGTGAATCCACAACTCACAATACCAATAACAATCTGGTCGATGTACCAGGCTCAGTTGGATGTAACATCATCCATGACCTTCCTCTTTGGACCACAGAGGTGGAAAGGATAAAATACAATAAAATAAAGTATTTCTTAGTTCTTCTTAGTTTTTTAAATAAAAATAAAAAACTTGAATCATTGGACATTTATTTTCAGTTTGCCAAATGACGTCACCATTGGTTGTTAGCTGAGACATGTCCTCAAGATTTCCATTACTGTTTCTGTTCAAGCAAAGTAATGTCTGAATAAAGACGGAGCTTTTTCAACAGTTTATGCTTTCTCTGTCCGGGTATGATCCTCATGGACTTGGTGGTTTTTGCAGTGTGCAGGCAACAACCTACAATAACAACGACATTCTGAAGCGGTAAGTGGACAAATGAGAATTTATTTTATGGATTGTATCCCCATTATCATAAAAGATGGGTGGCTAAAATGTGTCAGCGAAAGTGCTGACATAACCACCTTCATAATGTGCAAAAACGGCATTTGCAAAATACAAAACAAGCATGACACTGTTTTCTGTAACTGCACTTACATCTTAGAAATACATTCCCATGAATATCCATCGTCTAATTTCAAACTATAAAAATGTTCTGTTACATTTTTCACCAAATTAACCTAAAATCTAAAACATCAAATCTGTTCCAGTTCCCCTTTTGACATGATCATATAGTTTATTTTTTATGGTTAAAGTATCTGGGGTTACCTGGTCCCTGCTGCTAAGCTTGAAAATGTTTAATTTATCATTTCTCTACATTACCTGCACTTTTTCTCTGTTGTCACCGAGGTCAAGGAGGTCTCTTCCAGAATTTAACCCAGATGCTTTCCCCAGAGTGACAGTCTGCAAATAAAGTCCTCGTATCAAACGTAGGTTTTCAGCATTTTTGTTAGAAAATTAGTTCTTGGTTCAGCTTTTTGTACAGTCAACATGAGTCCAAAAAATGTCAAGATGATTAAGATTTTTATAACAATCTCAAGTTGATCCATGTGAAAAGATAAAATAATGCTTTTAAGTCCCATTATGGGGAAGTTTGCCATGTTATCACGGCATAGGGGATAATGACATTAGAAACATCAGTTAAGTAAAACGTACGTAAACATACACTATGAACAGGAGGACATATAGAAATAGAAATAGCATATACAATGCAAACTGAATATACACAGTTGTAATTGTAACATAAAATCTTTCCATTAAATATGCAACTTATTTTGAATCTTCAGAAAACAAAAGCAGGTGAATACAGTTATCAAATCTATAATTACATCCTGCAACAGCAGATACATTCCGCCTGAAAGGGTTTTGCTGTACAGTTTAATATGTAAATATGTATTATAGTTATTCACTTTCAACAACAAATGACGTTCAGTATAGCGCAGCATCACTGGAGGGCGCTAACACAAAGCACCAGGTGGTCTGGAAACAACTTGAGGGAGGAGGAGGCCATTCACTAGCCTGTTTTAGCTACACACACCTAGCTACTGTTAGCTAGCCGGCGGCTAACGCGCAAGCTACAACATCAGTGTGTCTTAATGTCGCCTGTCTTATCAAGTGATGGCAAGAGAACAGTGTTCACAGACCGAGGCTGGTGAGTGCTGAGCTCACGCTCGACCCGCGACAACACATTTTGCATGTGCACAGTTTGCAGTAGCGCTCCGGGGATAAAGCTAAATAACCCGAGTGCACCCCCGGAGCTAGCTAGCGTTAGCTCGGCTCTGTAGGAACAGTGGTTGGTACCAAGCTAATACGCGTCTCTTTCTTTTCAGAACTGTATTACCTCATTGCCAGATTCCTGCAGTCTGGGCCGTGTAAGAAAGCAGCGCAGGTAACACCCTTCAGTTTGCGAGATATTAACTGGTTACTGGTTCTAAATCGTAGAGATTAGCAGCTGGTGCTAGCGGCTAACGCTAACTGTGTCTGTGTGTTTAGATACTGGTTGAGGAGCTGGAGGAGTATGAGGTAGGTTCAGTTGCACCTTTCTGTCTTTATTGTCATGCCTGGTTTCCGTGTTACTGCCCATCTGGTCGTTTTTTAAAGTGTTTACATTTATTAGCTTCATTAGCCGATGGTAGATAAAGGAGCGGGTTCCGGGACGATAGCAGCAGTTTGGTGCCATGTCTTAAAAAGCTTGTCTCTTAACTTTAGTTGGTTCCTCAACGATGGAGTTGGGACGGACTGAAATACAAACGGACCTTCCAGGACTGGGTGAGTGGGGATTGTCATAATTAACGTTTTAACCAAACGAGGCTCATAACTGGGATTTAATTTGATAATCACCACAGCGGATTATTACATTTTTATTGATTGTTAATGTGGAATAGACGCGGCGATCAAATGTTTACGTTGATTAAAATCATTTAAACATTAG